GAAATCTCAAGGGACAAAGTCTAATGCTATCGACTCTTAATGTTTCCCACTCCTGTGACACTGGGCAAAGCAGTGACACTTGTCTTCATTAATACTTATCATTTCACTGTTGCCAACTGTGTCAGTTGCCTCTGCCAATTCTCCAGGTGACCTACACTTTTTTATTGCAGCGATAGAAGTGTTGCAGTTGCTGTATGTGTGAATATTTTTGTATTTCTAGGCTGTGAAGACTGGGGAACTCAAAGCTTATGACTGGGGAAGCAAGGCTGCAAATATGGCTCATTACAACCAGGTAGACATCTTTTACAGATATGTTATAGTTCTTGAATGTCACAAAAAAGTCCTTGGGCACTTCTCTAGGTGTTATATTTATGCTGCACGCTACAGTTCCAGTAGTGTTACCCAGTAACCAGACTGCAGATCTGCCTCTCCCCCAAAAAAAAAAGACAGGACTATAGAGCTCTGAGGTAGTCCTAAGTCATTGTGGAGCCCATGGTTGGATATGAAGTTGTGATGGCACTTGTGTGTTTCTTGAAGGGGGTCCTGCCTGCCTAGAGCATGAGATCCCTCATGTGAAATGCACTTCTCACAATAAGGCACAGAATGTCAGTTCCTGTGTATTGCTTATCTTCAGTTTGTTTAATCTCCATGCATGTTTGTTTCTAAATTGTTGTGTGCAATATTAAGAATGTTTTGCTCCTTGTCACTTTAGTGACTGGGAAATATTGCAGTATCACACTTTCAGAGTAGCAATCACTTTCAGTATTTGATTGAGGTTTAGAAATAACTTGAATGGGATGCGTTCTCTGAGACTTCTGCTACTCTGCTGTCTTGTAAACTTCTCAAACCACATCTTTACTGTTGTGCGTGCTAAAATACTGCAGGACTCTTGGAGTTACGTTTCTTTTGAGTGGGGACTCCATGTCTAGCTGCCCAAGAGAGGAAGAGAAAATGAGAATCTCACAAACTCTTCTTGCATTTGCTAGTATGTTGCACTGCAGTGGAGTATCACACATGAAGACTCATTCTTTCTAATGCTTTTGTTTTCACTTTCCCCCTTCTCAGTCTACTCCCCCTTTCTACAAAATAAAAGAGATGACTGTACCAACAGCAGTGTGGACTGGTGGACAGGACTGGCTGGCAGACCCAAAGGATGTTGCTATGCTGCTCACTCAGATCACAAACTTGGTTTACCACAAAAATATTCCAGAATGGGAACACTTGGATTTCATCTGGGGCCTTGATGCACCTTACCGCATGTATAATGAAATAATTAACATGATTAGGAAATATCTCTAAACCAACATGGTATTTCAGAGTATTGGTTCACTAGGAATTCATCTTTTTGGAACGTATGCTTTTCTGGCAATAATGCTAACATTTTTTTATTTATGATGCATTTTTAAAATGCCAGCAATGACTACTGAATTGGATTCATATATGGCTGTTTTTCTCAATATTATTTCTCTCTCCTGCAGAAATCCTCATTATATCCTGCTGATTTTGCACACAGTGGCATGGTACTCAAAAAAAAAAAAAAACAAACACCAAACCAGCAGTGTGACTGTGCACAAAAGGAATATGTCATGTGCATATAAAATTAATGACATGTCTGAAAGACAAGTTAGTCCATTCAGCATCTCAGATGCTTGACAATTAAACCAATAAGTATTTCACTGTACATAAACCACTGCCATTCTTAGTACATTGCCATTTTTGAGTACCTTTCAGAAGTACTCCTTGTACTGCAGTGACCCATTTGGTGCTGGTACTTTAAAAAGCACTTGGTGACTTTTTGCTGTGTTATTGTTTTGGCCATTGCATTATAAGCTAGCTACATCAGATGACCTTCTTTTCCAATATTGCCCAGGAGAATTGTCATGAAGCCAGAGAAGATCACCACTGTCAGTTGAAATCGCCTATTTTGGGACTGATTGATTGCTGCATTTTTCTTGAGTTAATGGTGTCCCTGAAGCCTTTCATGTTTCACATACCAACTATGGATAAGGATTGTTATTTGCCCTTGCAGATTCCTGGAACAAGAGAAGCTGTTAAAAGAAATACCACTTTCAGTTAGCTTTGTCAATAGGCTATGGTTTTCAAGGAGAATGATGTAATACACTTGTGTTTTGTTTTCTTTGCACTGACCAGTAGAAAACAAGCTCCCCCAGCATACTACTGGCAAGGGAAGAGCCAAAGCATTAAATCTATAGCTCGAGTGATGTAATTTGCATGGACTTTTCCCCTTCATCATCATCTGCTGCTTTGAAGATCTGTTCACTTCTTCACTGCTTATACAGTGCTTGCCACCATTGTGTTCAGGAACCCTACAACACCCTGGTGAAGCCTGGCAGTATTAATGGCCGTTTCCATTTGTCTCAGTTTCCACTTCAATGTGGGGCTAAGCCCCCATTTAATGGGGGGAGAGGATTCACGTCTGCTGCAGGGGTCTGCCTTTGGAGCTGTAACTGTCTGTGGTATAGGTGCCTTGCTCTTTCCATTGACTATGCAGAGGACTTTGGCTCCTCTGAATTGCACAAAAGTTCCATGCCAAATGTAGATGTATGAACAATCTCCAGAGTCAGTTGCCTCAGTCCAGATGATAATTTCTGTGCCATGGTTGGATTCAATCCAGATTTCTGTCAGTAATTGCAATGGGATTAAAAAGCCTTTTCTACATGGCATAGAAGATAGTGCTTTTTAAACTGAGGCAAACTTTTTTGTAAAAAAAAAAAAAAAAAAAAAAAAAAAAGTTGCAGAAAGATGCATAAGTCATAAATTAGAGTGAGTTTGTTTTTTTTTTTCCTAATTCAGACTCAGGGAATCCTCAGGCATTGTTTAAGGAAAAAGTGGTTCATGATATTTCAATTGCGATTCCTAGTTGCTTTGTATTTATAGCAGCCACATTTGCTTCACCTTGCTGTGCTGAAAGGAAATTTCTGTAGGAATCCAAAGTGACTGACTTAGCAGTTGTGAGGGTATGTGATACAGCAAGAGCCACGTGCATCACATTTATTAAGCTTGAGATATTTCAATAAACATGAGACCTACTTGGATTTCAGAGCGATGCGTTGTTTCACTCCTTGTTGTTTCATGAATGCATGTGAGTCTTTGGGACAGAATCCAGAAGGCTGAGGTTGTTCTTCACAACTATTCATCTGTGGAACAAGTACAATAAAAAAGTAAAATAGCCAAGTAAGCTTCCATTTTACTTTTGTCCTGAAAGAGGCTTTTCCTGAGCTTAAAAGGCCATTCATGTTATTTCAGGGGACTTCTCTGAGACTTTTAACTAAAGTACCAATTGCAAATAACTGCTTACAAGATGGACTCATTTTCTAAGCCTCCAGGTGAGGCTTCTTTCAAACCACTGACATGGTGGAAAGCTTCTTGTATTGCATTCTTAAACCTTCGGTAATTGGATTGCTTAACATACTGTCTGGTAATCTCATAAATAGCATTTAACCACAGAGTAAGGCAAGGAACTAACCTTTGCCATGGTATGTTTGATGTGATCACCCAGCTTTTGACCTTCGTCATCTTCAATAATAAATATGCTCATTCTGTACCTTGCTGTAGATGTGCAGTCAAGACAGCAGGGTGTATTAAATCCTATGTGTTGCCAGCTTTGTCAGCTGATGAACCCACTGCGTGCCTGGAAATAAAGCCAGAACAGTGGAAGATTTACACAAAAGCCATTATGGAACTTCTCTGCTTTGCTGGAGGAGGGCTGGCTATGGGAATTGTGAGCTGCTGTGCTCTCCCTGGCTTGCTAAAGTTACAGGCACTGTGTGACACAAACTTGGAGAGGTGTCAGTGGAAAGAAATGTGCAGAATAAGACACCCTGAATGTAGAGAAGAGTAGTGTGAAGCTTGGTCTAATAAGAATGAGCAGTGAGTGATGAATGGTACATTTCTCAAAGCAGATCTTACATTGTGTCTGTTTTATAGACCACTTTGTGTTATAGGTGTATATATATGATGTTGAAGGTTGGCTGAACGTCAGCTTTGGATAATATAAAAGTGTACTAGCATAACAGAGGGCATCAGACACTTTCTGCTGACTTAGTCTCAGCATTTAGTGATGTGAACAAACTAGGATAGAAAGCCAGAATAGTTCCCATTCAGCTGATGGATCGCCAGACTCATAGACCTACATGCATCTGAAGTGAATGGACGATCCAGGGCTTTGACTTAGCCATGTACAACACACTTGGGTGTATGAGGGTTTAGGCACACAAAAGAATCATAGAATGGTTTGGGTTGGAAGTTCCAACCCCCCCTGCTATGGGCAGGGACACCCTCCACTAGACCATGTTGCCCAAAGCCTCAAAAGGGCACGTGTTTGTGTCCACATGTTGTGCTTGGAACTTAAAAAAGTACTTTCTATAGCCATCTGCAAATACATTCAGACTGTTCACCTCATGCACAAAGCCTAAAGATGGTAGATGGTGTGTACGTTAGTGGTGCGTACTGAATGATGTACTAGCTCAATGTCAAGCATTTTAACCCTAGTGATTCTGTAGCTAGTGATAGCACTGGCAAAAGTTTACACATCAACTCAAACAACATAGCTCAGCATAGGAAGTGGTGGTAAAACAGAGCTCCTACTCCTTGGGGCCCTGTAAGAGAAACAGTTTTGTCAGCTTGGGAACAAAATAAACCATTTTCCTATAAATTACTCTTTATGGTGAATGTGCCATACAGAAAAAAAAAAAAAAAGGAAACATGAATACCTTAATAACAGGAAAAGTCACAAATTACGCTAATCTATAAGATATGAGGGAGAAACCTTGATGGAGGAATAGGTTTTCTGATATATAATAAAACATGTCTCTTTGTGGAAGATTGTCCTGTAATGAAAGCATTTATGTCTTCTCCCTTTCAATGCTGCCACATTGCCTGTTGTGAGAGTGCTAATAATGACCTCTCTTCTCTAATAGCCTATTTTTAAATAACTTTATATGAACAAAATACTTCTGGCATTGCTACCCTGCAGTCAGAGTTCATGGAACTCATCAATGAAATAAAAAATTATGAAGGTTGGATGGACAGTAGCCACACCTGTAACATGAATGCCTAAGTCTGATTTTCTGAGGATACCGAGCTGAAAAGTATCTGTGTTACATTCTGACTCCTCTAGAAATGATGAATGTGTGTAGTTGTAGAGGATGTGAATCAGTTTCTCACTATGGAATTGCAAATTGTGAATGAAAGAATTTTAGGATCTTTTCCTGATGGTTATTATTTTGAAAACTGATCCTGATAAGGTAAAGCTTGAGAATTAACAATATTTACTTTGCTGGCAGCTTTCCATCCCTAGCCCTTGTTAGGAATTCATTAAAAATTAATCTTTCTTTCTGTGCTGGTTGGAGAGGTTTTTCAGTGAAGTTGGCTGGGGAGGTGGAGTGTTGGTATGACAATATTTTGATTAAGGAATGTGTTAGTTCTGTTCAGTATTTTGTGTTTAGGCTAAGGTTTCTCATTAAAACCGAAGAGGAATGCGTGTTCTTCATCCTCAAGCACCCAGCGTACCCGTGGGCTCAGGGTTCAGCCTGCTTACCTGGCATGTGAAGAGTAAAGCCTCATGTCTCTTCTTTGAATTCAGATGCCAGACTTGACTCTCAGGTTACCTAAACACAAGGAGACTATAGGTTGAAGTTCGCAAAGCTCCCTCTTGCCCTCCCAGCCCGTGACACCTATAAGACCTGCGGACAGATCTATGCCTCCCAGCGTTTTGTCCTGCTGCAAAACAGTGCGCGTTTTGTTATCCCTGAAAATTTTAACAAAGTCTAAGACATATTGTCTGGCAAGTGTGACGCAGAGGAAGCAAACACTGACGCGGAGAGCAGGTCTTCGGGCGAAGGCTGAGGCCGCGCGGGCGCCGCGCGTGGGGGAGCGGGGCT